TTTTAAATAAAAAAGTAAAATGAAATGGCACACCTAGAACCAACAGGGGAGATGACTGATTCTGAAAAAGGCATAAAACTTGAAAGAAAAAATTAAAAGTCATAGTTGAAGGCGAAGGATGAGAAGAGCAGAGTAACAATGAGGTGATTCTTATCCTGTGTCTGTGTTAATAAGCAAAAACGTAACTGTGGACAATTAACCATTTTCCTGTATTGAGTACACATTATGGTGCATATTATTGATTCACTTGTTCAAGAAATAGGTATTAAGCATAGACAACATGTCTGGCAATGAGGAAGGTGCCAGGATTATAGTAGGGAATAAGATCAAGTTTACAGTCTATTGCAGTGGCCAAAAAACTCAAACAACTAGCACCAGTGTTCAGACATAGCATATGGGTGTGAAGTTCAAAAATCCATATATGGTGTGAATGATGAAAATGAAAGAGGAGCACCTCTTTACGCTGATTTTTGCCTTTCAGGAATGTGTGGTCTACTGTTGCCAGATTTTAAAAACATTTTGAGAGAAACCAGAATTCTGATTTTTATGTGAATCTATTGCTCAATTGATATTGGCTCAAAATTTAAAAACCAAAACAAAACAGAGACACCAGTTTGAGATTCTCTAGTTACAGAGGATTTGTTACTAGTGAAAGTATGAATGAGCTCATGGTTTTGAAATAGTAGTGGATGTAGAGTATAAATTGTTACTTAACCTGCTCAACTTGATTTTTAAAGCTATGATTCTATGGAAGCATAAGCACAGTCAGTTGATACAGAATTATAAATGAATGCCCTAAAGTGGCAGTCTAGATTATCAGAGGGTGTATTCAATTACTCTAAACAAAGTATTTGGGTATATATTTCTTTATTTATGGTGGGCAGGGTGTGTTTACTCCAGTGCACATGGAAAGCAGAGTAATGGGAATTGTTAGCACAGCATAAATGTTGGAATATAAAAGGCGTCGTCTGTTTTCAAGGGTGTTCTCTACCAGCTGCAGTGGTTTCGGAAAGTTTTATCTTTGAGACCCTCCTCCCCATCTTGTCAGATAAGCTCATTTTTATTACGCTCATTTCTGAGATCATGTCTATATTATAAAAATCAGAAGAATGCACTGTATTCATGCTTTTAAAAAGCCTAATTTGTATGTTCCCTGATATGCAACATTTCTGAGATGGGGATGGTGGTAAGGGTGCTTGGGTATGGGGTTTCATAATGGAGACAGGGGAGCTACGGGTTGAGTAGTTGTCTTCCTATATTAGCCACCAAAAGATACTTCCTTGGAAAGTGATTTATGGAATTGGAATATATATTTCTAGGTCTTGAGAGGTGGCTGGTGTCCCCCCAAACTGTGCTCAGAGGGGCCCATTTACATTCAATAAATTCTACCATAGTTTCTCTGCAAACACATCTGTGTTTTGAATCACATTTTTTATTTCTCTGAGCACCTTCTTTTCCACAAATTACTTAAAAGAAAAAGTAGAAGCAACAACAACAAAGATTGAACATTATTGTAATATTAAAGAAGTTAGGTATAGATAAAATAGGTAATTTCAGTTTAGGAAGCAGTTTCTTCTATCTTATTTCATTTGATCCTCTCAGTGAAATAAGAATTGTTACCCTAATTTTAAATGTGAAAAAAACATGAAGCTCAGAAGAGCTAAACTATTTGCTTAACTTCACATGGCAAACAAGTGAAGAAACCAGGTTTTAATCTTTATTCCCAAATCAAGTGTTTCTCTACTACACACATTGTATTATTTCTAAATAGGTATTGCCTGATAGGTTAATGTTTTGTGAATGGAATTTGCACCAAGTATGTAAAAAGGGGGTCAAGCACAGTCGTTTTCCTTTACGATTCTAGGTTCTAGAATCTCTAATTACTATCTTCTTAAAAACCTCAAGAAAGACAGGACATCTAGAGAGTAGAACTTTGGTGCAAGTGCTTGCTTTCCCTATATAGTCACTCCTTTTGAAAGTGTATTTACAGAATAAACAAATGAATGTAAAGATGAATATAATAAGATCTTTGTCTTTGAAGCACTCAAAGTCTAATTGTGTTTAACTGTAAAGAAAATACAAGGCAGAGTAAGTACCATAACAGAAGCAGATGAGTCTTGAACAAAATTTGATACGAGTCCAAATAAGAGTTAAACGTTCTTATCATTCTTATAATATATTGCTCTCTAGACAGTACACATCATTGAAAAGTCTCTCATAATCATGGTTCCCAGGGCCTAGTCTTTAGAATCTTTAATTCATATCAAAACTCAGCATTCTGCAGTACCTTCCATTAACTTCCTACTTCCTACTCCTTCCTTGCTAATTCATTTACATAATTTCTAGCTGTCAGTTTTTCCTGCCCTTCTGTCCGCTGCAACAGCTTGTTTTCTGACTCTTTCAATTAGTAAGTTGTAAATGTAAAAACTTTGGTGAAGTGGTTTTTTTTTTAACCACACTATTAATTCTTCTCTAGGTTGAGAAAAACCTGACTGATACTTAATTGTTCTGTGCTGCTCCCTTCAGTAGTCATTTTTACATTGTCTTTTTTTGTGTTTTCAGAAGTTTCAGTGTATATATTAATATCCAATTTTGACTATGGATCAACTCAACACAATTAATGTGCATCTGCAGTGTACCAGGCACTGTGTGAGGTACAAAGATATGTAAGACAAGGCCCCTGCTCTATAGGAGCTCAGTCTAGCTTCCTACTTGACGAAAACTGTCAGCTTTTAGAAAATGTAAATTAGCAGGTCTTGGTTACTTTCTGGAATTTGGTAATATACATTGAGAGCCTACTACGTATTGGGAAATGTATGGATATATTATAGTGCACGTAACTATTTTCCTGAGTTTCCCCAATTATTCTCTGGTCTTACTTGCTCTTATTTCCCACTCCTGAAAAGCACTTAACCTTAATTTGAGTTAATATATGTACTAGTCAATTTCTATATCCTGTACCTATACATCCACATCTTTGCATCAGTGTCACATGAAAAATCCTCAAAGTGACATATGGTGGCTGTCACTCAATTACAATACTCATGTGTACATTATAAAATGACACTTTTAAAACACACAAGTTTAGCTCCTAAACAGATTTTGTTTACTTTATATCTTTATCCATGCAGTTTTTACAATAGCAAAATGAAATTGTCTTCTACCTCCTTTTAAAAAAAGTTATAAATATATTTCCATATTTCTGGAGTCATGACTTTGAATGGCTGAAACTTTCATATGATAAAGTGCAACTACAAATGAGATGATTGAGTCGAAGGCAGGAACTTGAATGACTTGTTACTTATAATTACATCAAAATACATGGAATTTATTGGAATTAAAGCAATCCCATTTACTAGATCCTGTTTGCCACTTACAAATTATGTGTCGGAGGCAGACTGTCTTTTGCATTTTTTACAAAAACAATAGTATCGATAGTATCACGGCTCGGAAAGGCAGCTGCACCTTGCTAACGTTAATACAAACGCAAGGCCGCATTAACATCTCACATTCACAGGTTTACGAACTGGAATAAAAGCCCACTGCGCCACCCCACGCCCTGCTCCGTCCGGCTCCACGCCGCGACCCTCCGCAGGCGCGAGCT